CAGAAATTGGCTTACCTATTAAGATGTTAGCACCTAGGTCTCTAGCTAAAGCCATTAGTTTATCTAGGATTCATGAGCAAACATTGGTAGTACAGAAACAAGTCTTCATGATTCCATCAAATCCCTCCTATTCAACTAAGAATACCCCAAGATTTTCATCTGTTAATTCCCAACCTTCCCAATCAAACACCACGATAACCCACAGATTTAGTCAACCCCTCAACAAAACTTCCAATTCCCAAACCTTATATGATAAACCTACCTATAAAAATGCCAAGAGACTGACATCTGCTGAAATGGAGGAAAAAAGAAGTAAAGGGCTTTGTTACAATTGTGATGAGAAATACAGTTTTGGTCATATGTGTAAAAATAGAAGGCAATTATTTTCTATGAAGGTGGAGGAGGGATTAGTAGAGGTGGAGCTGGAACAAGATGTGATGCTGGATCCAACAGAGTTATTGAGCATGATTGGTCAAGGATTAGAGACTGATGCTGAGGGATCCATTTTGTCTCATGTCTCAGTTCATGCTATGAATGGCTTACATGATTTTAGGACTATAAGAGTAACTGTGTCAATCAAGGGCAAGGCTGTGCAAGTCTTGATTGATACTAGCAGCACTCACAATTTCTTGGATCTCAACACTGTCAAGAAGTTGGGTTGTGTTCTGACTGCAATAGCTCCTTTTACAGTCTCAGTAGCTGATGGCAATAAGGTTCAGAGTCACTATGTTTGCAAGAAGTTGGTGTGGAAAATGCAGGGAGTCTTTTTTGATTCTGATATGCTAGTACTACCTATAGGTGGATGCAATATGGTCCTGGGCATTCAATGGTTGATAACCTTAGGGGATATTTTATGGAACTTTAGGAAGCTCAAAATGGAGTTTACTATCATGGGCAAGAAGATTTCTCTCAGAGAAATTCAGCCTCCTGCTGCCAAACTCATCCAAGTAGGGAGTATGGATAAGTTGCTGGCCAAACTAGGAGAGTTGTGTATAATCTCAGTATGGGTATTATCAGAAGGGAATTCTATGGATACTGCTGAACTATTCTCAGTGGGAGGTCAGTATCAAGATCAAGAAAAGTCCTCAGAACTTGACTTGATTCTACAGTCGGATCATGATAATTTTGAGGATCCTAAAGGACTACCACCTTCAAGAGAGCATGATCATAGAATTGTTCTAAAAGAAGGTACTGCTCCAATAAACAAAAGGCCATACAGGTACCCAGCTATTCAGAAGGATGAGATTGAGAAGATGGTAGATGAAATGTTGAATTCTGGAGTAATAAGGCATAGCACCAGTCCTTACTCTTCTCCTATTGTAATGGTGAAGAAAAATGATGGAACATAGAGAATGTGTATGGATTATAGGGAATTGAACAATAGCACTATAAAAGACAAGTTCCCAATTCCTGTTATTGAGGAATTACTAGATGAGTTACATGGAGCTAAGTATTTTTCAAAATTGGATTTAAGGTCAAGCTATCATCAAATCAGAATGTTTGAGCAGGACATTCCTAAAACAACATTTAGGACTCAACATGGGCATTACGAATTCATGGTAATGCCCTTTGGTTTGACTAATGCTCCAACCACTTTTCAGAGCCTTATGAACCAGATTTTCCATAGTTATCTCAGAAAATTCATTCTAGTTTTCTTTGATGACATCCTCATTTATAGCTCAAACTGGTTAGACCATATGATTCACTTGGAGGAGGCTTTTCAGTTATTAAGAAATCATGTGTTGTTTGTCAAGAAAAGCAAGTGTGCTTTTGGAGTTACACAGATAGACTATTTGGGCCATGTTATCAGTCAAGAAGGGGTAGCTATGGACCAACAAAAAGTGTCAGCAGTACTGAGTTGGTCTCAGCCAAACACACTAAAAGAACTGAGGGGTTTCCTTGGATTAACAGGATATTACAGGAGGTTTATCAAGGATTATAGGTTGATTGTCAGACCTTTACATGATCTACTTAAAAAGAGAAGTTTTGTATGGAATTCAGCAGCCACTGAAGTTTTTGAATCATTGAAGAAAGCCATTACTTCTGCTTCTGTGTTGGCATTACCTGATTTCTCTAAGGAATTTGTGGTAGAAACTGATGCTTCAGGGGCAGGTATTGGGGCAATACTGATGCAAGATAACAAGCCTATTCTGTTTATGAAAGAGAATTGCTAGCTTTGGTAACTGCAATTCAAAGGTGGAGACCATATCTGTTAGGCAGACATTTTGTGATCAAGACTGATCACCACAGTCTCAAGTATCTTTTGGAGCAAATAATCACTACTCCTAGTCAACAGAAGTGGTTGGTAAAGCTGCTAGGATATGATTACACTATATCTTACAAGAAAGGAAAGGAAAATGTAGGAGCAGATGCACTTTCAAGGAAGGAGGAAGCTATCCAACTATTTAGCATTTTTGGGGTCTCTTCTCAACTACTGGAGTCTGTTAAGCTTAGTTGGGAGCAAGATCCACAATTGCAAAAACTGGTTCAAAGTATTGAGTCTTCCTCTAATCATAAACCATACTACTCTTTCACTGGGGGCATACTAAGTAGAAAAGAAAAGATGATGGTAGGGGATGACCAGTCATTGAGGAAACAACTACTGAACTTCTATCATAACAGTTCTATGGGAGGTCACTCTGGGATCACTGCTACCTACAAGAGAATTAAACAGGATTTCTATTGGAAGAAGCTGAAGCAAGATGTTTACAAGTATATAAGGGAGTGTGACACTTGTCAAAGGTGCAAGGGTGAGAATGTGGCATACCCTGGCCTACTCCAACCTTTGCCAATCCTAGAAAAGGTGTGGCAGGATATCTCTATGGACTTTAAAGAAGGTTTACCTAAAGCTGCAGAGCAAAGAGGTTATCTTTGTGGTAGTAGACAGATTGAGCAAAGGTGCTCATTTCATGGCATTAAAACACCCCTACTCAGCCTTAGAAGTAGCTCAGATCTTCATGGATGGGGTGTTTAAATTACATGGGATGCCCAAAACTATAATTTCAGACAGGGATAAGGTTTTCACCAGCAGATTTTGGCAGGAGCTATTCAGATTATAGAAGGTTTCACTTTTGACTTCATCTACCTATCATCCTCAAACAGATGGACAGACTGGAGTTGTTAATAGGTGTGTGGAGTGCTATTTGAGGTGCATGACATTTGAAAAACATGAGGATTGGCCATTATGGTTGCCCCTAGCTGCATGGTGGTATAATACCACCTATCATTTAGCCACAAACATGACCCCTTATGAAGCAGTATATGGCCAGAAACCTCCTCCACTTCTTCCATATATGCCCTTTGACTCTCAGTTAGAGGTAGTTGACATGAGTTTACGGGCCAGGGAAGCCACCTTGAGGGCTCTCAAGCAACAACTAGAGAAGGCTCAGCACAGAATGAAGGTACATGCAGACAAAAACAGAACAGAAAGGTCCTATAATGTAGGTGATTGGGTTTTTATCAAACTTCAACCATATAGGCAGCTTTCTCTGAAAGATCATGCTTATCAGAAGTTATCTGCCAAATATTTTGGTCCATTCCAAATTCTATCTAGGGTAGGATCTGTTGCTTATACTCTAGACCTATCTCCTCACTCCAAAATTCATCCCACTTTCCATATTTCCTTGTTGAAGAAGAAGCTAGGCAATCATACTGCCTCTGCAGCATTACTTGTGGTGCACTCTGATTCCGGTCATGTTCTATTAGAGCCTGAAGCTATTATGGACAGGAGACTTGCTAAGAAGAATGGGAAGGCAATCACATAGATACTGGTTAAGTGGCTGAATGCACCACCTGAGGACAATACTTGCGAAGAATTGCAATCTTTCAAGTTGAAGTTTCCACGGTTCAATCCTTGAGGACAAGGATTCTTGAAAAAGGGGGTATTGTATGATCCCATTGAGTAGTCATTACATCAACATTAGGGGGTGGTTAAAAGCTTAATTCAAGCTAGTTAGTTAGAAGCCGTTAAAAGTAGTTAAAGGGGTAGCTTTCCAAAAGTTAGTTGTAACTAACTTTCCCGCTAAAAATGTTCCCCTATATAGTTGATTTCCTCTATTGTAATTTTCAGTCTTTTGGATGTTAAATCAATAAAACTAGTCTTCTCTCTTCTCTTTCAATTACATTCAACTATTAGTTGAGCTTAGAGAATCTGTTCAAAGGTAATTCTTCTAGTTTTACGCTTTAGGTTTCTCTTCCTTTCATTGTTCTAGCTCGAATTTGTTTGGGTTTGCATCACTACAGTCTGGGATGTTACACATATAGATGAGCTGGGCAAGTGTTGTACTTCAAATATTCAATAAGTTCCTGAAGATATTCGAACTTCTGTATGGCTCTCTAGTCTACGCAATTTGTTCATTCATCAAGTGTATTACATCACATCATCCATCTTCACACACCACTGAAGAAAACAGATTATTTTTTTCATCAACATATTTTTTTAAACATTATAAACCATTCATCTGGGGTTAATATATTGGTTATTTAAATACAAAGTTTCATTCCTATTCTGATTACAACTACTATATATTACATACAAAACGTAGAAATAGATATACAGACAAACAATTTGTACATTTTTAAAAGTTTATTCAGAAGAACTAATGAATTATACTAAAGTAGTTTAAGATTGATATATTAGTATCGGGGGCTGGAAGAGTCTGCTCGGCTTTGACGTTTCTTCTTGCATCTCCAGGCAAGTTGTACCGGCTGCCGGCCATATGGAGATCCATACCTGAAATATCCCTTCTTTATATATTTTACATGCTACTATAAAGACTATCAGCTATTTATTAAATAGTGTCCAAGCTGAAAGATGGCAAAAAAGATAAGAGCATCAAACAACAAGAAAACAAAAATATAGAGAATAGCATCATAAATCTTCTTCCTCCAATTTAAAGCTTTACATCTAACTCCAGCCACTGGTTAGTCCATGATACCAGCAAATCCATTGCAATCTCGCCTCAACCTCCCCCCCCCCCCCAAAAAAAAAAAAACCCACCAATAATAAAAACATCACTCAAAGCAAAAGATGAACATAGAAGAGAGCAAAAAACTTTCATAAGGTAATGCTTCCAGCCTATGATATATCAGAAAAGGGAAATGCGGAGCAGAAACAAAGAGACGAGAAATAAGGGAAACAGGGCATTCTGTTATGAGGAAGAAGAGGGGCAGAAGTATAACGTTCTGGATTGTCCACAAGGATAGCTTAAAAAGATAACATAGCATTCCACAAATTTTTGAACAACTAAGATGATAACTTCCTCCAGTTGGTGTCGAGTCTCCACATCAGCTAAGGGATGGGGGAATTGGTCTCTTTATATGGCTTGGCAATCCTCACCTCGTGAACTAGCTTTTGGGGTTGAGTTAGTCCCAACGTCCATTTCTTTATCAGTTGGAGAGAATACAATTATACTAGACTAAGTGTCGTTCTAGTTCTGCAGAATGATAAAGATTATGGCTTTGTTGGTGGTCAGGAATGAAAGTAGAAAGAAACCGGAATGGGTTTTAATCAGTGACATTAGCTTGAGTAAAGGCTTAATGACTTGGAATCACCACCTAACTTTAAAACATATACATGTAAATCTGGCATGATCATCTCCAGAGAGGCCCTTCTAGTTGATCTTCTCATATCTTGTCTGCTTTACAAATCTGACACTACAGGTAGAGCCATGAAAAATCATGCCACATTATTTTGTTTATCACCACGTATCGAGTGTTTTCAACAAAACAAATAGATGGATTGGAGATTCAGTAGCTATAAATTTAAATTACCTTATGGCACCTTGAACAGGTGGACTCCTCGAGAATCTTGCGAAAAGATTGGTGACTTCTTTAAGATCTGCAGCTCGTAATATAAAGGCTTCAACATTTGTTAGGCACCTAACTAGTCTGTTGCTCAGCAATCTGTGTCCTGGAATTCTGATCTTTTTTCCATCTGCAAGGACAAAATGAAAAGCGACGATAGGAAATCATTACAATATGTATTTCAAATTCACAACTCTACCTCTTCCAAGACTGGAAAAATTACTTGGAGATTATCAAAGTGTTAGACAGCCCATCCGATAAACTGGTAGACTAAAGGCAGCAATGTTTTAAGTTTTTACCACTCTTCATATGGTTTTCAATTATATTCAATAAAAATTGCGTAAGCTTAACTTCATTAAACAGGGGTCACCTCTGTGATTACACTGATTGATAGTTCACAGCAAATACTTATCTGAAAATCAAAACCATCAAATGTAGACATATAAACGACATACTTATTGACCCTGACATTCTTATGACACTGAATGTCCATCCTCTCAACACCAAAAATTTCGACAAAATCCAACTTTTGACATTTCCAGTTTATCTAGTCTGATGTAACATGTAAGAGAGCCAAACCTTGGTGAACCATATATGATATAAAGCTTCCAAATGATAAAACAAAAAAGAAAGGTGGGGAAGAGGGGGGGGGGGGAGTCAATTTTTTAG